GTTGAAAGGCTGTGTGTGTGTATATAAGGCAAGTTTAAGACGTGGACTTCAACTCCCAGGATTCCTGAGCTAACATGACTGGAGGAGGAATTCTGGGAGTTAAAGTCCACAAGTCTTAAAGCTGTCAAGTTTAAAGACCCGTGATATAAGTTGTGGGGGTGCTGGAAGGATGAACGGGGAAGCACCTTGTAGGGCCAACATGTGGCCATCGGGCAGTGTACTGTTCGGAGAAATATCCATCTGGGTTCAGTTCCAAGCTGGGAGAAAGACACTGGAATACACGGATGGAGGCTGATTGGGAAAATTGGTTTAATGATGGACAGAACCACTGTAGCAGAAATTCTTGGTTCCAAATCAGAACACAAGACCACGAAAGGTTGGAGAATACAGGTTTATTTGTGCACAAGGTTCAAAGCATTAGCATGGCAAATTCTGAACCCCCGGCTCTTCCTGAGGTGTCACTTTTATATGTATCATGACCTCAGACTAGGCCAGGGCGTTCCTTTTCCATATCCACCCTTGTTTACAGTAACGTGGTTAGTTCCTTAGTTCAGCAATTCCGTGGTTTTACACAATATTGTGTTAAGCAAAGCTTGGGGACTTGAGGACTTCTGCTAAATGTAAAAATACTTTATTTGTAATTTTCCATACTGCTTCACCACCAGCAGTCCTGGGTCAGCGGACTAACTGGTTTTGTCAAGACATGGATTTTTATAAAGTTTTTTTCTCCAGCATTTTGTCATTTACAGGCTTGTTTTGTGTATTTTGTTACTTGACTTTAATTAGTTTGTCTCAGGAAGAACCAGCAATGAGTCTGAAAGTGCTGGCTTCCTTGGGTTTTTAATCTTGTTTAACAAATTACAAACTCAAGGTTAACCGCACCAAACTTGATTGCAGGAAATACGACTTCAGCAACAGAGTGGTCAATGTCTGGAATACTCTACCTGACTCTGTGGTTTCTTCCCCAAACCCCAAAAACTTTAACCTTAGACTTTCTACTATTGACCTCACCCCTTTCCTAAGAGGTCTGTAGGGGGTGTGCATAAGCGCACCAACGTGCCTACCGTCCCTGTCCTATTGTTTCTTTTATTTTTCTTATATGTACCCATTTCATGTATTCATAACTATGTATATACTTATACCTATTATCTTGTAAGTGATTGACAAATCAAATAAATAAATAAATACAATAAAAAATAAATGTAATTAATCCTAGATGCCCGGCTCTCTTGGGGTTTTAATCCGGGTCTTGAATGGATTACCGAATCTGCATTTGTAAAATCTGCCTCCTCAGTTTCTAAGAGACTTGGGGGCTGCTTCCTGCCTCTAAAAAAACATGTTTTTCCATTTTTCATTTAGGGAAATATGATATTCTGCCTTGTTGGAAAAAAATGTCCATCTGGATTCAGTTCCAAGCTGAGAGAAAGACACTGGAAACATGGAGGCTGATTGGAAAGATGGTTTAACTTTAATGATGAACAGAATCACATGTTCGTAGTTCTGGTGCAGCTGACCACCTGGAGTTGAAAGTTATTTATACCAGAGTTCTCCAACCTTAGCAACTTTAAGACTCCCAGAATTCCTCAGAAAGCTGGGTGAGGTATTGTAGGAGTTGAAGTCCACAAGTCTTAAAGTCGCCAAGGTTGGAGACCCCTGATTTATACCTTCTCTTGGTATATTTATACCTTCTCTTGGCACTTGAACTTCCTGTTCAAGAATATGTGTTCTATTGGCTGTTGACAGACTCCCATGGGGGCCATGTACAAATCCTAGGAGTTTGTCTGAGCTACGTTTGGTTGAAGGTTGCAAAAGGTGATCAGGACACTGCAACCATCGTAAATATGAACCAGTGGCAAAGGGTCTGAATTCGATCACCTGACCATGGAGATGGAGCAGTGGTTGTGAAAAAACGGTCATTAGATGCAGCGGTGGGATTCAAATAATTTAACAACTGGTTCTCTGCCCTAGAGATTTCTTCCAACAACCAGTTCACCAATCTGCTCAGAAAGTTAACAACCGGTTTGTCAGGATTCCGGCAGTTTACCCCATTTAAATTATGAGTCTCAAGCCAAACTTCCAAAGGATTTATTGGGAGTTAACATGCCTGGCACTGCCTGGGTGTAGCCCACTCTGAGACACATAATTCATTGTCACCCTTGACCCTGGTTTTCCCCCCACCTCCTGGGTGTATCATAAATCACATTCTCCAATGGGACACATCCATAGCCAAGAGTCATCATCCATGCTCTCCAGTTAGAATTTTGCGGGGCAGAAATTTCAGTCACCTAGTTACTATCTTTGAAAACATTTAGGGAATGCAGTTTCGGTTTACAAGCTGCTGTACTGCTCCCCCTCCCTTTCTGTTGGCAACTCTAAAAAGACCATAGAAATGTTTTCTGAGTTGACAACGGTTCTCCCGAACTGGTGCGAACTGGCTGAATGCCACCACTGATTAGATGCCTCTTTCAGTGCCGTTGTAACTTTGAACCGTCACTAAAGGAACTGTTGTTAAGTCGAGGACTACCGACGGTCACTGCGTGGCTTAATTTGCTGGGGACAGAAATGTTCTTCAGGTAGTCCTCGACTTACGGCCACATTTGAGTCCGATATTTCTGTTGCTAAGTGAGGCATTTTGGGAAGTGAGCTTTGCCCCATTTTATGACTTTTTTTTCTTTTGCCACAGCTGTTCAGTGAATCGCAGAAGTTCTTAAGTTAATAACATGGTTGTTAAGTGAATCTGGCTTCCCCCATTACTTGTCAGAGGGTCACAAAAAGGTGACCCCCATAAACCCTGGGACACTGCAACCATCATATGAACCAGTTACTAAGCAACTGAATTTTCATCACATGACCATGGGTTGTGTGAAAAATAATCACGTTTTTCAGTGCCGTGGTAACTTTGAACAGCCACTAAGCGAACTAAGTGAGTAAGTTGAGGACTGCCTGTGGTTGGTTATCAATAGTATTATCGATAGATGATTCCTCACCCCAACAATGGATGAACTCACCTATTGGCCTCGTGTAGGAACAAAGAGAACAAAATCCCTGCGACACCCACTGTTGTGGTTCACCCACAGCAGGTGCAGACGACTGAGGTCTCGGTTAGAAGGGAGTGTGTGTGTGTGTGTGTGTGTGCATGGCTGTCAAAACTCCAAAAACAGGTCACATAGCTCTGGGGAGGTCAGTCATAAATTAGAACACTTGCTAAGGAACCGGCCATTAAGCGAAGACCACTTGTATTTGATTTGCCAGTCACACAACCACCTGATCACGCCCACCCAGTCACATGACCACCAAGCCACGCCCACCGAGTCACGTGACCATCAAGCCATGCCCACAAATTAGGCCACGCCCAAAGAACCGGTTGTTAAGAAATTTGAATCCCACCCTTCCCAGAATTCTCCAGCCAGCTATGCTGTCCACAACTCTTAAAAAGTTTTCAAGTTTGGAGACCTCTGTTCTAAGGTTACATTAATCCTGAATCCTGCAAGGCTGAAAGCGTTGAGGGACCGTCTCACCCCAGTGGGATTGTGTTGTGGTTCGCCGGCAGCAGGTGCGGACGCCTGAGGTCCCGGAGAGCGAGGACTCGGAGAAGGGGCCTGCGTGTGATGCAGGGACCGTCAGGGAGTGTGCTGCCTTCGGAGATTGTGGAGGCTGGCAGCAGTGATGAAGAGGACCCCGAGGAGCCTGTACCCGGTGAGCGCCTACAGGGCTGCTTGAAGGAAAGAGCAACTGCAGCAGCACAGGCGACTCAGGAGTAAGGCTGCAAGGTAATGGCCCCTCCCTAAAGAGATAAAAGCCAGCTGAGAAACCGGAGTTCTTTGCAGGAAGCAAAGAAGTTTTTGCACTCAAGCCTTGT